TTTTATTGTAAAGTTAGCTTGAATGTGCGTTATATTCTCTTGTGTAGTAGACGCATCCCATATTTGCATGGTTCATTTTATTGGAACGTAAGCTTGAATGTGTGTTATATTGTCTTGTGTAGTAGACGCATGCGTTATTTATATAGTTCATTTTATTGAATTGTGAGCTTGAATGTCTGTTATATTGTCTTGCGTAGTAGATGCATCCGTTTTATACATAGTTCATTTTATTGAATTGTGAGATTGAATGTGTGTCATGTTGTCTTGTGTAGTAGACGAATCGCTTATTGAAATCGTTCATTTTATTGAAACGTGAGCTCGAATGTGTGTTATATCGTCTTGTGTAGTAGACGTATCTTTTATTTTTATAGTTCCTTTTATTGAAACGTGAGCTTGAATTTGCGCTATATTGTATTGTGTAGTAGACGCATCCCCTATTTGCATGGTTCATTTTATTGGAACGTGAGCTTGAATGTGAAATATATTGTCTTGTGTAGTAGACGCATCCAATATTTACAAAGTTCATTTTATTGAAACGTGAGCTTGAATGTGTGTTGTGTTGTCTTGTGTAGTAGACGTATCCCTTATTTATGTAGTTCATTTTATTGGAACGTGAGTTTGTAAGTGTGTTGTACTGTCTTGTGTAGTAGACGTATCGTTTATCTATATAGTTCATTTTATTGAAACGTGAGCTTAAATGAGCGTGATATTGTATTGTGTAGTAGACGCATCCCCTATTTGCATGGTTCATTTTATTGGAACGTGAGCTTGAATGTGTGTTATATTGTCTTGTGTAGTAGACGCATCCCTTATTTACAGAGTTTATTTTATTGAAACGTGAGCATGAATGTGCGTTGTGCTGTTTTGTGTAGTAGACGTATCTTATATCTATATAGTTCATTTTATTGAAAAGTTAGCTTGAATGTGCGTTATATTGTCTTGTGTAGTAGACGCATCCCTTATTTGCATGGTTCATTTTATTGGAACGTGAGCTTGAATGTGTGTTATATTTTCTTGTGTAGTAGACGCATACGTTATTTATATAGTTCATTTTATTGAAATGTGAGCTTGAATGTCTGTTATATTGTCTTGCGTAGTAGATGCATCCCTTTTATACATAGTTCATTTTATTGAAATGTGAGATTGAATGTTTGTCATGTTGTCTTGTGTAGTAGACGTATCGCTTATTGAAATAGTTCATTTTATTGAAACGTGACCTTGAATGTGTGTTACATTGCCTTGTGTAGTAGAGGTATCTTTTATTTTTATAGTTCCTTTATTGAAACGTGAGCTTGAATTTGCGTTATATTGTATTGTGTAGTAGACGCATCCCCTATCTGCATGGTTCATTTTTTTGGAACGTGAGCTTGAATGTGAAATATATTGTCTTGTGTAGTAGGCGCATCCCATATTTACATAGTTCATTTTATTGAAACGTGAGCTTGAATGTGTGTTGTGTTGTCTTGTGTAGTAGACGTATCCCTTATTTATGTACTTCATTTTATTGGAACGTGAATTTGTAAGTGTGTTGTACTGTCTTGTGTAGTAGACGTATCGTTTATCTATATAGTTCATTTTATTGTATCGTGAGATTAAATGAGCGTTATATTGTATTGTGTAGTAGACGCATCCCATATTTACATAGTTCATTTTATTGAAACGCGAGCTTGAATATGCGTTATATTGTCCGGTGTAGTAGACGTATACCGTAATTACATGGTTCATTTCATGGGAACGCGAGCTTGAATGTGTGTTGTACGGTCTTGTGTAGTAGACGTATATTTTATCTATATAGTTCATTATATTGAAAAGTGGGCTTGAATGTTCGTTATTTTGTCTTGTGTAGTAGACGCATACCTTATTTGCATGGTTCATTCTATTGGAACTCGAACTTGAATGTGTATTACATTGTCTTGTGTAGTAGACGCATCCCTTATTTACATAATTCATTTTATTGAAACGTGAGCTTGAATGTGTGTTATGCTTTCATGTGTAGTAGACGTATCCCTTATTTACATAGTTCATTTTATGGGATCTCGAGCTTGAATGTGAAAAATATTGTCTTGTGTAGTAGACGTATCCCTAATTTATGTAGTTCATTTTATTGGAACGTGAGCTTCAAAGTGTGTTGTAATATCTTGTGTAGTAGACGTATCTTTTATCTATATAGTTT